GTGGGGGAGTCTTTTGGGGGATCCAGGGCAATGTGTCCTTTGCTGTAATCATTTTTTACACTGAGGCATTCACTGTGTTTTACAATCGCACCTGTATGTAGGTCTACAGATACACAGTCGAAACTCTGGTACAGATGAATGCACACAGCTGGAAAGGGGCTGGCGCAGTACAGAGGAGCAGATGGAGAGGCAGGTCTGGCCCACCCACTGGGCGCGACACCCGCACTTCCAGCCCTCAAGCTCCATCTGTGCCCTGCCCAGGCATGGTGGGAGGGAGAGAACAGACCCGCCCGCACCTCGGCAGCCAGCGCCCTCTGCTGGCAGGGCTGGGCAGGCAGCGCCACACCCGCTGCCCCGCTGGGCTCTGCCCAGGGCCTCTCCAGGGCGACCTGAACCCTTCACAGCCTGGGAGCCACAGGGAAGGAGGTGACGAGTGTCCGCGCCTTCGCGACCAGGCACCTGGCTGAGCACAGGGCGGGGAAACGACTGAAGAGCTTCATCCTCCAGGGTGGTACAGACTCAGCGCAGCACACAGGGTGCTGGGGAGAGGCCTCCAGGGTGGGGGCCCTGGGGTCGGGACCTCAGCCTGCGTGGGGGGCTCTGGCATCGGGAGGCGCCAGGACCAGCCCTCTGCTCCTTCCTGGGCTGCATGCAGCATCCCGGAACCCAGGCCTCGGGCTCTGTCTCCATCGCCCTCCAGGACAGAGATGTCCCCACCCGGAACAGGGAGGAGAAGCCAGCTCTCCCGCCCTGGTCAGGTGAGCCAGGCGAGGGCAGGGCTCAAGGGTCGGGTCAGGAGGGAGCCTGCCTCAGGCACCACCACAGCAGGGCCTGGTCCAGTTCTGCCCACTGGCTGAGCAGCTGAGGAGAGCTGCTCCCCCTGGCACCACTCCAGGCCCGGGTGACACTAGGGTCCTTCACGGGACCTCTGCCTGGCTCCTGCCCTAGAGAACGGCAGGGCAGCCTCTGGGTGAGGAAGGAAGTCCTGGCCTCTGTGTGCTGCCCACCCCGACAGCTCCTGGCCGGCCGGCTCTTGGGCAGAGGGTGCCGGAGGCCGGACAGGACGCCCTCAAGGCCATGCTGCTCCTCTCTGTTTCCTCAGAACCAGGGAAGGCGAGTCCAGCAGCACCACACCCTGCCTCTTGGTGCCTGAAAGAGGAGCCAGAGTCAGGCGCTGCCCAGCTGAACTGTGGGAGCCTGGAAGACCCAGCATCTTGTGGCCTGAACAACCAAGTGTGTACTCGGGGTCAGTCCCAGCAGAAACCAGCTGCTGCTGGCTGCTAGCACATTGGGCCGGGAAGGCTTGACACTGACCTGCCACTGCACACGGGACCACAGCGAGGCCTGGCCAGGACAGGGGACAGTGCCCCCTGCCCTCGCCCTGGCCAGCAGCAACTAGGCTCTGGGTTTGGGCCACTGGGGCCGCACCCCACTTCCACGGCACCCCAGAGGATTTAGGGTGGGACCCCAGACGGCCACTGGCTCAGGGAGCCGTCCAGAGCCTGGCTGTCTGCACTGCACACCTCCCTCAGGACAGGGAACCCCTCCGCCCACCCCCGGCCCCACTGCACCTTTCCATCCCCTGCACCCACCCCCCAGCACCTGGCCGCCTCGGCTTCACCCTGGGCATGCTCCCTGCGGGGGCTCTGGTCCTCTGTCCTCCCTCAAGTCCTGCTCGGGATGACCTGGTCCCCGTCCATGGAGTCTCAGGGCCTCAGCCCACAGGCGCCTTCCCCCACACCTGAGCCGCATCCACCTGGAGGCTCTGCCGCTCTGCCGCTCTGCCCACACCTGCCCGCCTGCCGTGCCCTCCACCTCTCCCTGAGGGTTTCCGAGCCCCAGCCAGATGCCAGAACAGAGGGCATCACCCTCCCGTGTGCAGACACAGACAGGGACAGCACCGCACTTCCTGGCTCTGGCCTCTGCTCCTCCTCCCACTCCTGCTTCTTCCTGTGGCCCAGAGCCCAGAGGCTACCGAGAACCTGGGTCCTGTCCCCATGCCCACTCGGCCTGACCCCATCCCCCTGGTCGGACAGCCAGTCCCCGGGACCACTGGCCACCGCCTGGACTCCCCACACACGCCTGAGTCTCACACACACCACCAGCTCATCCCGGACCTGCGCCTTCATCCAGCCACCCCGCCCCCTCCTGTGCTGTCTGCCCAGGCCTCTGTGTGGCATAGGACACTTCTGGCCCCAGGGACCCCGCTGCCCCCTCCCCGCAGCAGACAGCAGGGTCCCTGACCTCGCCCCCACCCTGCAGGGCCATGTGGGACCTCTCCTCGGGCACTGCACTCCTGTGCAGCACACAACGGCCTCCCCAACCAGGGAGTGCGGCAGCTGTGGGGCCCAGGCAGCCAGCGTGGCCAGGTGAGCGGGGAGGGGCCACCAGCACAGCGAGGTCGCTCTGCAGGGGAAGGGGTCAGGCCCACATTGGAAAGTCCCCGGGCAAGGGGTGGCAGGCACGTGTGTGTGTCTGTGTCCACACCTTCGCAAGCACCTGCTGGAAGGGCCCCAGAGAGGTCTCGAGGTCAGCCAGCTCTGGGAGGGGTTCAGGTGGGATGGCAAGCCAGGCCTCAGGCTTCATCACTGCAGCCACTCTGTGCTGCAAAACACGTTCCTTAAGGGGAGAAAAGAAATAAAATCAAAATTCTCCTGGGTAAGCCTATAAGTCCATACACAAAAACCAGCACATAACTAAATAAATGCATAATTATGCCTAATTTAAGGTGCACTTCAGGTTGGAACATGAAGAAATGTTCAGGTGAAATAGAAATAGAAACAGGAAGAAATCCAAGGAGAAGCAGACAGAAATATGAGCTGCAAGAATATTCTACAATCTGAGGGGCTCCGATGAGGTCAGCCTTCCCACTGCCAGGACAAAATACCCAACACCCAAAACTCAGAGGAGGAGGGTTATTTGGCTCATGGTTCGGGGCTTCAGTCCAGGGCTGGCTGCTCCAAGGCAGGAACCGTGTGCCAGAAGGGTATGAGGCCAAGCCAGTCTACTCACAATGGCCAGAAGCAGAGCAGGGGACAGCGCCAACAAGCAACAGAAGCCCCTAACAGCACAGCCCAGCGACCCCTCCACCCATCCCCCTGCCAACAGCACCTCCAGCTGAGTACCAGTGGACTGGCCCATGAATGAGCACCGTCCCCCAGTCCCCCCGGGAGTCTCCCGTGCAGCCCGATGACCCTCAGATTAACGGTCACAGGTGTCCTGAGGCACAGCCCTCCATGTGACCTGTGACAGGAGCTGACCGCAGGCTACAAGGGGAGGTCCATGGCATGGCGCTCTTCCACACAGGTCAGCGCAGCCTCCATTTCCCCACCCGGCCCGGCCAGGCGAAAGGTCCCCTGAGCTGCAGTGACAAAAGGTAGGTTGTGTCACTTGTGCTGATACACAGGAAGCCAAGGAAGAGGCAGAAAGTTGGGGCTCTGTGACCAGCAGCTTCGTTTGCAAATGCAAAAAGACCAAACGATATTATTCTACCTTCTTCCAACTCGCTGAGCAAACATCCAGGTATCGGCACCACGGTCACAGCGGCTCTGCTGCACAGGCCCAGCGGCCCCCTCAAGGCACAGCCAGTGGAAGCTGCAGCAGAGAACAGACACAGTGACCGGGCTGCGTCCTCCTCAGGGAAGGCAGGTGAGGGGCTAACAACGGGGACCTGAGTCCTCCGTCTGCTCACACGAGGCCACTGCTCACACCAGTGCATGCTCCAGGTGCCGGCGGCGGCGGAGGTGACAAAGTGGACCAGGTGAGGGACTGCTCCAGGATCAGCGGTAGCTTCCCTGCCAAGGCAAACGGGCCTCCTCTTTCTAACATTGGCTTTAAAAAAAAACTGTAGTTAAGCCAGGCGTGATGGGGCACACCTGTAATTCCAGCACTTGAGAAGCTGAGGCAGGAGAACTGCTGCAAGTTCAAGGCCAGCCTGGGCTACATAGTGAGACCCTGTCTAAAACAAAAACAACAAAGAAATTGTAGGCAGAAACTTAACAATGCACAGTGTCCCTCCCATCTTAATTTGTGTGGAAGCTGAACACAGGCCCAGGTGGTGGAGCAGCTGATCTCCAGGGCTGGCCCAGGGCAGGGCGGGTGGCGGGCGGGAGGACTTCCAGCCCCTGGCACACATGGGAGGGCACTTGGGGGGGGGCTCGAAAGAACCCACCCTGGCCTCGGGGAGACAGCACAGGCCCTCGCTGTATCCCCAGCCTTCTTCCCCTCAGCCCGCTGGGCTCCCAGAAGACAGCAGAGCTGACCTTGCCTCGAGCTTCCTCCAAGGTCGGGTGTGTGGGCCCCGCCGGCGAGGATGCAAAGCCCACAGCCCCAGTGGTCCCGCCAGCCCTGCAGGGACTGCCTGGGGCTTGGCCTGCGTCCTCCAGGCTGGTAGCTCCAACCATGGAGCTGCACTCTGGCCCTCTTCGGATGTGCCTGGCGTTGCCTGGGCTCGGGCGTCTGCCTATTCCTTAGCGGGCAAGAAGAAGCCATCTCTAGAGGCCGGGCCTGCGACCCTCACAAGCACACACTCTTCCCTGTCGACTCCTTTCTGCCGCGCCTGGGAACCACTGCTTCCGTGAAGTCTGTGCACATTCTCCCGCGCTCCCGCTTCCTACCGCTAGGTGGCGCCAGCCCACACGCTCCTGACCCGGGAGCCTCCGGAAACGGCCGCGGTCGCCCCGGTTCTTCAGGAAAAGCAGGCCGAGCTTGGCGGCGCCTCACTCCGCCAGGATGCGCGGCTGCACCGGTGCTGCCGGCGGAACCATGTCCCGGACCCGAGCAAGGGGCTCGGGGCTGGCGGAGCCTCCTGCCCACTGTGGGCTCCGAGCAGGGCCCGGGGGCTCGGGAGCAGCCTGGATCCAGGGCGGAGACCTGCTGCCCACATCCCTCACCTGCCGGCCGGACGCCCCAGGACGGAAGCCGCCGGTCCTGAGCCCGCCCCGGGCATCTCATGGGCCAGGGAGATGGGCTCGGGGGGGGGGGGGACAGGCAGCCGACCTTGTCACCCACTGCCACCTGTTATCCCGAGGGCCCCTCCAAGACACCTGCTGAGCCTGAGAGCTACCTGCAGAAGATGCCACCCCCTGGGGCCCTGCTCACTCCTGGTTCAGTGAACAACCTAGACAACTGGCCCTGTCTGTTCTGCAGGGCCCATGAGTGCCCACACACGATTAGAACGGCTTTCCTGCCGGGAGTCTGACCACTCACAGCTCACTCAGATTCCGTGCTGAGCCCAGGGCAGCGGGAGAGTCCTCTGGGCTCCATGACCAGCGGGTCAGGGGCGGGACTTGGTTCCGGGTCCCAGTGCTGCTCCGAGCTTGGCTCTCCCTCCCCTCTGCTCTCCCAAGAGTGCACGTGGACATTTTCCACCACGCACACAGGAGTGAACAAGACGGCTGTTTTCTTTTACTTCCTGTGACTTTCTGTCAACCTCTTCTTTTTGTGTGTGTGTCAACCTCATCTTAACCTCAACCTAAGCATCTTTCCCCACGGGACTCACAACCTGAAAATCTCGCTCATTTGTAGATAAGACAAATCAACCTGCACTGTAAGCTGTGATGGTCTCCGTAGCTGGCAGCTGGCAGCTGGCAGCTTTACCCAGTGTGAGGGCGGTCGAACACTACGGTGAACATTTAGGTGAGTCTTAGCTATTACATCAAAAGACCCCTTGCCGTGAATCCCCTCAGTCTCCACCCTCACTCTGAACGCGCCCACCCCACAGCCCCTGCCATGGCCTGTAGCAGCTCTGGGGCCCTCTCTCTTGAGTGTCTTCAGTGGTGCTCTCCTGGCTGCCTCGATGTCCTGAATGGATTCAAAATGTTTAATTTTGACTTTGGGGAAGAACAAGAAGTCACACGGTGCCAGATCCGGTGACCAAGGTGGACGAGGACCCAGCGTCATGTTTTTAGGAGCTGTCTTTCTGCTGGACAGCGCTCGGCAGCAGCGGTCACTGTGTTTTTCTAAAGATCCTGAGTTACTTTTCTCATTGCTGAGACAAAATACCTGATACCCAAAGTTAAAGGGGAAAAGGTTTATTTGGCTCAGTCTGTAGAGCTCAGTCCACAGTCAGCTGGCTCCAAGGCAGGGTGGCCTGGCAGAGGGCATCACAGAAGAGACATGGTCCGTGGCAGGCAAAAGGCAGGAGAGCACCAATGCACAAGCAGCCAGAGCAGCAGCTCGCTCTCTGTCCCTTACAGCCTACCCAGGCCTCCCACCCGTAGGGGGGCAGCAGTCACCCCAGGGGCCCACCCTTCATCCTAGCATCACACTGTGAATCCATCAATACCAGAATGGCATCCTTAATCCCAGAGTCTCACACTCTAGATCCGGCCACCTCCGAAAACTCCCACCTGTGACTGCATGAGGCTTTGGAGGACAGCTAGACACAGCCACTGCCCTCCCCAGCTGGCTCCTGTGCACATTTGCACCTGGGATGCCCAGGTGCTCCTGCAGATGGGCGCCAGAGCCCCCCGCAGGTCTGAAGCAGCAATGCTGGCTGGGCGAGCGGCTGAGGACAGCTGATTGTCCGTGACACAGAGTCCTGGCTCTTACAGGTTCACCAAGGTAACAGTGCTAAGGAAACAAGTCCTGTCCTCCCTAAAAATCACATTTCAAAGCTGATCTGAGATTCCTGTGTGGGGTCCAGGCCTGCAGAGGAAAAGCAGAACAGGGGCCTCCTCGGTCTTCTAGTCAATTCTAACTAGGAGTTACAAAATAAACTTTACTGAAGAGATCTCCCAGGAAGCAGATCAAGGGCAGGGGCAGAGAGAAAACCAGATAGAGAAAGGCACAGAATGACCTTGGGTCTCCACCAAGAGAGGGGGAAGAGCTAACAGGCAGGACCCAGACAGCCAGGAGCACAACCCTAAGCCCCCCTCCAGCAGATGCGGGGAGGCTCTCACGTGGGCATGCAAGTGTGTCTCACACTTGCGCACTAACACACACATGCACACACGTGTGTTCACTCTAGGGTCAGAAGAGAGTACAACAGACACCACGCGCCCCTTACTAACCCTAAGCCAGCCGTGAATAAGGCACCCCCTTGCCAAGCAGCTGCCCACCCCGAAGATAAGGCCTCAAAGGCAGGTCAAGGGCAGTGAACGGGCAGAAAGCTCCACGGGGACCACGTCAGTCAGAGGCGCCCGGAAGCCAAGCCAGCTACGGCAGGTTCATCCTCCTGGAGCCCCCGCCCCGATTCCTTCTTAACCAGCCAGCTGTCTTCTCCTTCTCTCTCCCCTTCCTTTTCCTCTTCACAAATCAAATGTCTTCCTTTCCTTAAACCCAGTCCCTCAGACTCGTTACTGGGGTTGAGCTCATGATCCCCACAGACTGCTCAGACAGCAGACCAGGTTCCTGTCCCTGGCTGCGACATCTCTGGCTCCCTGAGCTGGAAGCAGATGTAACACCCGGCTCCTGGGCCCCAGAGTCAGGGCAGGAGCCTGGGCCCCGCAGCCCGGTCCGTGCCAACACCTGGGTCCTGCACCATTCAGGGGTGACGGAGGCAGCACTGGTCTCTGGGCCCACACAGAGCTCTGGGTGAGCAGACCCTGTGCCCCTCAGGCAGGGCAGCCAGCCCAGACGGGGCTCCTGGGCTCCTGCTGGGCCCAGGAGCTGCATGAGCTCCAGAAACAGGTGGGCACCGAGGTTTCCCGGCAGGGGGAGCCAGACACAGACAGGGCAGCAGCCCCCAAACTGAAGGCACGAGCCAAAGTGAGTCTGCTCTGTACCCACGCAGCCTGGCATCCCCAAGCCTGCTCTGTCTCAATCTCATAAAAACACACTTGCAAGAGCCGCTGGGATGCTCATATCGGAGAGCCACACGAGGGAGACGAACCCCACCACAGCGGCACTGACAGAGACGGCACAGGACCGGGGGACCCCCGCCGGGCAGACGCCACTGACAGCACTGGGATGGGACTGGGACACGGCGGCCTGACAGGTCCCCTCGGGCACCAACACAGGAAGTCCTGGGACAGCCAGGTGGACCCTCAGCTTCACTCCGCGCTCAGGGCAGTGGGCCCTGGGCTCTACTCCTAACTCCCTCCTGCAGGCCTCAACCTCAGCCTGGCATCTGCACAGTGTCCCGTTTGTGACAGAAATCGGGTCTGCCCGATGGCACTGGGACCTGTCCCAGCCTCGGCCCATCACTCATCCCAGGTCCTGCTTGCTCTGCTGGGCTCTTACACAGACAGCAGTGTCTGGCCTGCCGCATGCCGGGTCCAGGCTGTGATCCAGGACGGGAGCTGCTCAGCCACCACACTGGGGCTGTGCCTCAGTTTCCCACATGAGGCTGGGCAGGGTGGGAACAAGGCAGAGGCCAGTTGCCTGCTGGGACCCAGGGCAGAAGCAGGAGTGCAAGGCAGCAGCACAGGGCTGCCGTACCCAGTGAGCTTCTGGGACCAGGCCACAGCATCCACGGCAGCAGACGCAGAGCCATCTCCAAGGGCCTCAGCCGGACCACGCACCAGTCCACGGGCTCACAAGGTCACCCGACCCACAGGGAGGCTGTGGCGGACAGTGGGGTGCAGACCAGTGGAGGTACTCCGTGGCTTTAATTAGGTGTGGTGAGACACGGAGGTGACAGCCACGCAGGAGGGCGTTTACACTCGGGTGGCAGGCGGAGGCGGGAGGGCCAGGGGTGGCAGGTTAGGGCCCTGGAAGTGAGAACCGCTGGGGCCTGGTCTCCTGGTGACAGGGCAGGGATGGTGGCCCAAGTGTGACAGCCCTGAAGGAGCAGTGAGGGCCCTGGGAGGGTGGCTCGGCGCTCAGAGGTGAGGTCCCCGCTCTCCGGGGCTTTCCCACCTGGGAGGGGCTCAGCAGGGTCCCCAGCTCCAAGCATCAGGACACAGAGACCCAAACCCAGCTGCTGCACTGCAGGCCACACAGTCAGGACAGCAAGCTCGGGGGACCTCTGCACAGACAGCTGACCCAGCCCATCTCCACCCCGGGGCCGCATCCATCTGCGGGAGTCCCTCACTCGGCCCCGTCCCCTTTGCAGGTTGCCGACAGCTCCCGGGACGCAGTGTGAGCACACGAGGGCAGCTCAGCGTCCTCTCTCACCACGACCACTGTGCGTCCACAGGGCATCCCTCGCCGCCCAGTGTGTCCCGCCATCTGGCGGGGCCAGGACAGCGCCTCGAGGGCCACATGCACGCCTGAATGTGGACTCAAGGACTTCTTCTCCCTTCCCCTTTGGGAAGAGTCAGGAGTCGCAGATCTGACCATGCCACATCCTCAGCCACACTGTTCTGGTGTCCATGTCTTGCATTCATTCAAACTGTTTGATTTTTGAGATCATTTTGACTCTGGGGGAGAGCGGGGAGTCGCCCAGTGCCAGATCCGATGACTAAGGTGGATGAGGACACAGCGTCATGTTTTACCAGCTGCCTTTCTGTTGGATGGTGCTCGGCAACATTAGTCACTGAATTTTTGTTTTTTGTTTTGTGTTTTTTTTGAGACAGGGTCTTGCTTTGTAGTTCAGGCTGGCCCTGAACTCATGGAGATCCTCCTGCCTCTGCCTCCTGAGTGCTGGGATTACAGGCGTGTGCCACCGTGTCTGGCCATTCACTGAAATTTTTTTGTTTTTGTACCCAGGTTGGAACTCAGGACCTTGGACTTGTGAGGGAGGTGGCAGAACCACTGAGCTAAATCCCTGGCCCCATTCACTGAATTTTTTATCACATCTCATAAAGATACAAAAAAGGACTTCCAGGACTGCTTCAGAAAGAGGCAGGATTTTTGTGTGTTGATTTTGTATCCTGCTACATTGCTGAAGTTGGTTATTAATTCCAAGAGTTTTTTGGTGGAATTCTTTGGGCCTTCTATGTAAAGGATCATGTCACCTATGTATTAGGATAGTGTGATTTCTTCTTTCCCTGTATGTCTCCCTTTTATTTCTTTCTCTGCCTGACAGCTCTGGCCAATGTTTCAAGGGCTATGTTGAACAGGAGTGATGATGGAGGGCATCCTCGTCTTGTTCCTGATTTTAGAGGGAACGCTTTCAGCCTTCCCCATTTAATAGGATGCTGGTCATTGGTTTGTAACAAATGGTTTTGTCAGATTTGGGAAAGGGCCTTCTGCAGAGATATTCCTCATTTAATGACCTGTTTAATGACTGTTTGGACTTAAAACCGAGGCACAACTTGGACTTACAACCCACCACTCAGACTTATGACCCATCTTTTATTTTGCACAGTGCTGCACGTCTTGGTTATAGAGCCTCAATCTCCTTTGTTTGCACAGGGCAGGGACCCCTGCAGTCAGGTTCCAGTCCCCACCTGCCCAGTGTGCAATGCAGGCCTGAGGAAAAGAATATGCTGAGAGACAGAACCAGGAGAGAAAGCGGGGGCCAGGACGGCCAATGCCAGTGCAACTGACAAAGGCGCTGGCCAGTCCCAGGCACTGACTTTTATTGGCAGTCAGTTGGGGTAAAGGTAATGTGTGGATTCTATGGAAATTAATGTAAAGGCTCAGAAAGGACAAGACAAAGCATTCTTGAATTAGGAACAGAATAGACAAAATATGATTGTATTTAGAACACTGTCCTTCTAGTCTGAAGGTTTTAGATGTGGGAATGGAATTTGGGTGTGAGTTACTCTGACCTTAGTATGTAGGCTTCAGCCAGACTCACTTCTATAATAAACAAGTCAGCTGTGGGGTTAACGCTTCACAGCCTGCCTTGGGCATGATCAGTATTATAGTCCTCTGCAGCACAGTGCACCTTGTGTATACAGTACTGTGATTTTTGCTGACTGCATGGTACAGTACAGTACTACAGGTTTATATTATGTTACACGTTACAGCACTGCATGTAAGAATTATGCAAATAAAGCAAAGTCATCACATTGCAGCTTCCTTTCACTGTGTCTTTGTTCTGAATGTTATCATGTGCACACTAGATACAAGTCCTCATTTAGCCACTAATACATTTAATAACAGTCACAGGAGCAGAACTCAGTTGTTACACAAGGAATGTCTGTACCTACTTTCTTTCAGGTTTTTGTCATGAAGGGGTGCTGGATTTGTCACAAACTTTTTCTGCATCTATTGATAAGATCATGTGGTTCCAGATGCATAAGAAATTGCACCAAGCATCAACAAATGGGATCATACCAAATTGAAAAGCTTCTGCACAGCAAGGGAAACAATCAACAGAGTGAAGAGACAACCCTCTGAATGGGAAAACATTTTTGCCTGCTGTTCCTCAGAGGACTCATATCTGAAATACATAAAGAACTCAAAAAACTTAGACTCCCAAATAAAAGACCATTCAAAAAGTGGGCATGTGAAATGAACAGACTCTTCTCAGGAGAGGAAGTACACATGGCCAAAAAAACATAAAAAATGCTCAACATCGCTGGCCATTAGAGAAATGCAAATTAAACAACACTGAGATTTCATCGTACACCGGAAGAATGGCCGTCATCAGGAAATCAGAGACTATCAAATGCTGGTGAGGCTGTGGGGGAAAAGGAACCCTTCTACGTTGTTGGTGGGGAGTATAAACTAGCACAGTCGCTATGGAATTTAGTGTGGAGATTTCTCAAAGGACTAAAATTAGAAATTCCATTTGACCAAGCTATTCCCCTTCTAGGTGTCTTCCCAAAGGGTTAAAGACATCACATTACAGTGATGCATGCACAATTCATGATAGCTAAATCTTGGAATCAGCCTATATGCCCACCAACAGACAAATGGATAAAGAAAATGTGGTATCTATACATAATGGAATATTATTTGGCTCTAAAGAAGGAATAAATTTGAGACATTTGTAAGAAAATGGATACACCTGGAAAATATAATGCTGAGCGAAATAAATCAGACACACGGACTTAAATACCACATGGCATCATCATGTGAGTAAGGCAAAGTACAAAGAGCAAAACGAAGGATGGCTACAAGGAAGCAGGGAGGTAGGTCTTTTGCAAATGGGCGGGGTCCAGGAGACCCAGGACAAGGAGAGAGGTGGAAGGGAAGGGAAGTAAAAGGGTTTAAGATGTCAGGTACAGGTACCAGATGCCCACAATGAATGGAAGCAGTTTATGTCCTCAGCATGAACTAAAACGAATAACAACAATAGGAATGGACATGGGGAAGGGGATTTGAGTAAAAAGGGCCAAGCTGTGTTACAGACGCACACTGCGGCTCTCGTGCTGCGAACATGAGCTAATAATGTTTTTAGACAAGGACAAGGAAAGCGGCAAGATGGGTGGGACGAGAGTGCTCAAAGCGCGGGGAACGGGGCTCCTCGCGGCATTGTCTCCTGCAGTCATTTCCTGAGTTTAAAGGTCCCGGTACTGGGATCTCCCATAGGGGCTGCCGGTGCGGCAGGAGCTGCG